AGGGCAGTAGTGATAGGGGGTAGGGAGAGGAAGGGTCGAAAGTAGGGGACAGATGAAGATGGGGAGTGAGGCGAGGGTTATCGGGAGAGGGGGGTAATGGGAGAGGGGGATGGGTTGGGAAGGAATGGAAAAGTAGAGTTGAGATTATTAAATATTAAAAGGACAAAAACAGAAGAGGCTTGTTTCTTTGTATCTATTTTTTTTTGTGTTTTGTTTTGTTTTGGAAGGGAAGGAAAAGGTAGAGGGGGGTGATTTTGAAAAGAAAAAGAAGACAAAAAATGGAAAAGGCGCTCGGAGGGAGATGGGAGGGGGAGAAGGAGGGGGTGAAGGAGATACGGATTTGACGGAAATTTCAGAAAGGGACGAACACGAAAAAAGGGTTGAAAGGGGAGAGAGGCAGAGGTGAGAGGAATGGACGAAATAGCGGACGAAATTTGGGATGGGGTTATTTTACATGGCAGAACAGTCGGGTGTGCACGTGACACGGGGATGATAACCTGCAGCTGAGAAAGAATCAAGACCAAGATAAGACGGGCGGGTTTATTTTTTCTTCTTTTTTTGGGGTCTTTTTTCCACCTTTTTTTTATTTAGGACGGTTGCCTTTAACAAAAATGAAAAAGAAAAAATGATGAAAGAAAGAAAGAAAAAAAATAAAAGAATAAGGTTGCATCGTTGCTTATGAATTCTTTTCAGCAGGTCATCTTCACCGTATTACGTGTATCATTACAGTTTCATTTGTCATAGAATGGGAAAGTATAATTCATTGAAGAGCCAATATTTTTTATTCCTAATTAACGCATATTTAAAATTTGATCTTTCTTCCCGTTAACATACTTTATTTTTTTTTCTTTCTTTCTCTCTCTCTTTCTTTCTTTTATTCTTGCGTTTTGACTTTCTTTCTATTTTCTTCCTTTCTTTTTTCTTCCTTTCTTTTTTCTTCCTCCTTTTTCATTTTTTCTTTCATTTCTTGCATTAATCTTTTCATTTTGTTTGTTGCTTCGATCCTTGTTTCTTTCCTTCTTTCCCTTTTCTGTCTTTCTTCCTTGATCCATTGATCCTCTCCTCCTGTACCTCCTGTAGTAGCCGTCACTCACCTGAACGCCTCCCTCCCCCACCCAGCGATGGTGATGAAGATGCGAGGTCCCAGGTCCCGGGCTGGGTTGATGGGGTAACCAGAGTTCATGCCGAATGTGTTACCTGAGAGGTGAAGGATGGGTGATGGCAATGAAGGCATGGGGTTGTTGGGTTGAGTGGGTTGGATGGGGTGGGATTTGGGTGGGGGAGGGGGCGTGGGGGGTCGCAAGAGAATATTAGTTAGCATGAGGATCTGGGTGGCAACACAGTACAGTGCTCGTTCAAGAGGTCAACAGCAACAAC